GCATTGCTATAGCGACCGAATAAGTCCGTCGTTTCTTTGGAGCATGAATTTCTTCTTTAGTCGTAGTATTTTCCAAAGGTTGAACTTCTTGCCCGTTTTCTCAATATGTTAATAACAATGCTCTTGTTCCATAAGCAGTGGTGAAATTTATAATTATCTTGTTGATAATAATCGAGTTTGGCGTAATATTATTTCCATTTAAGTAATCCGACATTTGCTTTATATTTTCTTGAAATTTTTGCCATTCCACCATGTTGAAGCAAATACCATCGGCTCCCTTGGATGAAATTTAACGAAAGGTTGAAAATCGAAGTCGTCGTCGTTGATTGAAGTTTGCAGTCCAACATAAATTTTCTTCGTATAGGAAAAATTCAATCCATATGTTGTAGATAACAACATGCAATTCTGCACAATTTTTTTGCGATGTCGCATCTTGCTTTGGAAGTGTCATTGCACTTTGTTGGTTTTTCGGATTTCACAATTTCCTGGCGTTTATCCATGATACTGATTTTTATACGTAGACGCGAAACGAAAATACGAAAACTGAAACTTGTTCGCTGTTGAACTTGTAGATTCAAATGCTAGAAGACGAATGAGAAAAATTTTACCATCTACGAAACAAAAAATCGGAAAAATGGTGGGGAAATTCGAATACATATAAACTTTAAGCAGTATGATTGGTCGCAAATGTGACACATTAGCAAATATTACTTTTTCGGACTTTCACGAAAATTCTACTAGATAAAGAAAGTTTCGATTTTTGTGTTATAACATGTTACGGCATTATGAATTTTCAGGATTTTACAACGGAAAAATTTTTACTATCTTAATATGATTTTTACTACGTGATCGATATATAGAGGATTATTCTTACTCAAATCAATAGAATTTCTACCCGTCACGTAGTATTTCTTAACGAGTTAACCGTCGTCGGAATTTTTACTATGTCCCAATAAGAACAAGAAAGTATAATATACGTATAGTTATGGTATTAGCGTATAGTATAAACGTGGTATATAAAACGTAAATGACTTGGGTATAATTTCCGTTGCTATGACCGTCTCACATACGTTTTCGTATACCAATTATTATTTGTGTATTAAACGTTAAAAATATACAAATAAAATTCGGATTTAAAAAACGAATAAATTATGTTTTATACAGAGTGTCCCAAAGTTCGCGGCCCAACCCTCGTGTACAGATAGAGCGGGTCAAACTGAATAAGTAAGTCTTTTACCACTTTGCGAAATTTTCAATAATTAATTAGAAAATAATTAATAAAGATCCGCCAATCCGCGCAAGTATTCCCCGAACGCCGAGTGCGCGGCGAGTAGGACCCACCCAGCATAGCATAATACACGCGCCGCTCGTGTGTAGTGTGCATAG